TCACATTCGAGCAGCCATTGGCGTCGCCTTTTGGGTTTTCCCTCTCGGCACATTCAAATTTTTCATTGTATTGGGTAATGCATAGGAACCGAATGTATGAATGCTCGTGCAGAAGGGGAGCTTTGTCGGGCCAAAGAATTGACAGCATTCAATGTCGGAATCACAAAGCACACAGTGCGGAGGGCCAGACGGGCCATCAAATGTATAAAGAGGCCCGTGTGCTGTATTTTGTTCTCTGTGACGCCTCACAACATTCATAGTGAAAATGAATAGATGAGTGTAGACGACGGGGGAGGTTCGGGAGAGAGGCAGAAAAACATAGAGTTAGTTCGAGTCCGGATGCATCCGATTATGCGGGCTGAACATCACACCACACAAGGCACAAAATGATGAAAGCGAGATATTCAATCACGAAACAGGCGCCCCAACAATGGGGACGTTCGTGATAATTGAAAKCCAATGAGAAAGAACAATATTGTCGATGACAAACACGCCGGGGACATGACAAGTTCACTCGGAGATTTCCTGACAATGACAGCCAGTTCTGCTCTGAACCAAATTGAGAACACCCACCAGTCCCTCACGGAAAAAATGAAAAGGATCAAATTTCGTTCGGAGAAGAACGAAATGTTCTTCTACGTCAACCCTTCTACACTACATGATCAACAAAGAGATAGACGCTTACCTACCAACATCGCAAATCGCCAAAGCTAGTCTAGCTCTTATAGAGGAGATGTGTCTATGGGAGAAACCAAAAGGTGGACGTAAACCTCTCGCCAAACAGGAAGCGAACATCAACATGAACACCCCACAACTAGCCCCGTCGTACTGCCGAGGGGCACCTTTCACGTTGACCTGGCGAGCGAAGTGGTCGAAAGTGCGACCATCACCGGCGGCACCTGCCACCGTGTTCAAAAATTTAACAGTTTTATCCAGAAGTGCGGAGTAGAAGGAATCTTTGGATGACGAACACGAGAAAAAATCATAGATTTCCAAAACACGTCGAGAGAAGTCAATGGCCAAAAGGCTCCAGTGTTCGCCGTCCTTGTGCACTGGTGCCAAAACAAGGTCATGAGACAGGAGGTCGACATCTTTAGCCCATCTGAGAACAACTGTCGGACCTCGCAAAAGCAGTGAAGAGGCGAAGAAGGAGTTAAAGGTGTATGTCTTCATGGTAGCGGGAGTCCGTCCGCAGTCGTCCAATAGCATCGCCATGTAGAAATTGACAACCTCATCGTTGAGCTCCCCGGATCTATCAACGAGTGCGACGATGTCCTTGACGGATACCTGTAATCTGTGCGACGGCAAACGCACGACGATGATAGTGAGCGGCAACCCGGAGCAGATAACATCTTCAAGGACCGCTCTTCCATCTCGAGGAAACCCTGTTCAACAAACACCCGCAGCACACAGCAAGCACAAAGGATGGGGCACTATGAGAAAATGTCGTTCTAGCGGCCATGTTTCGAGGAACCGCTACTCTGTGGTCCGAAAAGTTCACGCATAACGTCACCCCTACTTCTGGACCTTCTACACACAGTTGATTCTAAACTAGCACTGTCCTTTATATCCTGCAAGCCTCGAGAAAGAATTCCTTGCAGTCTTTTTCGGCAACACCCGCTGCCTCTGCAACGAGTCTTGCGCGGGAGCCCAATACGGGCACGACTACCCTTCTGGGAGGGCCTCGAGGCTTAGTGTCCCCAGGAAACGCATTAGTGACATTGCGACGACCAGTGTCTCCCGCAACCAGGACTGACAACCTGGCGAGGGCAGGCGGCTCCTGCGACATGGGTGTTTGTCCACGAGTTCGTCGACCTGTACAAGAAATAGCCACCCAGACAGTTCAGCAGGAAATCAACAACACAAGTTCGCAAGAGCAACCAAGCAAACAGCACCTCATGAAGCACATCGTCACAATCCAGTTGGTGGCCGCCTATACACCTCCCCAAAATCGACGAAGCAAACAACACTTCACGAACGGGCTGACGAGCGGGAAGAAAGCAGAGAAAGTCAGTGCTTACCAGGCCTAGCTACCACTTCACCAGAGCCCACCGACGACAGTCCCAGCACGATTGGCACCCCTGCGCGCGTCGACGCAGCGACGACGTGCTCCAAACCCACAGGGAAACTTGACAGGCTCGAGATGTCGGCGTCGATGACCGTAGACGGTATATTCGTCTCCGGACAAAGATCGTCGACGTCCACAACATCGACAGGTTGTGTTTTCTCCATTGCCACTGTGTCGTATTGTGTTGGGCTCAATGTCCCATGGATGTCCAAGAACACCTCTCCCCCCCTTAACTTCTTATCCCCGTAGGCTGTGTCTTTGTCGTCGTCACTCAAATAGAGAAATCTATTTCCAACAGCGTCAGAGGCCTTTTTCAGAACTTCCTCCCCCATCGCCTCGTTGTGAAGGGCAGAGTACAAGGGATCGTCGTATCCCGACTGAACTGGTAGCTCCATCCCGACGTCGCTGAGTGTCGGATCAATCCGATCGTCGGCGGAATTGTCCTTGTCCAAAGTCGTCAGTAGTCGACAACCCTCAACGCCTGCCAGTTGAAGTCCTTCGCCCGTGTGCCTCGGATGAATCTGAATCACAGTCGTCTCCAAAGATGGATCAGGGAGGGAGATGTTCACAGGGCCCTGGTTCGGATTCATCCGAGCCCCCGCAGTTTCCAATGACGCCGACATGACCGCTTTCACCGGGGAGTCGCTTACGACTGCTAACTCGGCTCCGAGTGTGTTGGGCTCGACATTGGAACTGGTCGCCAACTCACCCTCAGTCCGACAGTCCGCCTGCAGCTCCTTGTGGGCTGCCACGCACAACATTACTGCATCCTGACACCGATCGTCTGTCATGGCAGACACGGCTTCCTGGTTCGGATGAATCCGAATTTCATCGCCAGGGTTTTCGGAAACCCGGACCACCCGTTCGAGTTCTGTAGACAGTTGTGCTCCCTCGATGGCATGGCCTTCGCGGTTCGGATTAATCCGAAATTCCTTTTGAGGCGAAACAATACACGATTCCAGCTTGTCGTTGCCGGACCCGTTGTATGTTGTCGTCTCGCTTCCCGGAAGGCACTGAGTTCTGGACAACAAGGTCGTCTCCGAGGTTCGGATTGATCCGAGACAATCCGCCAACCGTTTTTGGAGCTGAGCGAAGCATGTTCCATGCTTTGCGACACCCGCCCCGCCAACCGCATCGACAAACTGTGTTTCGCTGGTGGAGCTAATCACAGGGTCCTGCTCGCCAGGCCGCGTAATGCACCCAGACCTCAAGTCGTTCCCCGTCTCCATTGAGGTGCAGCCTGTTACCGCCAGAACCCCACCGTCCTCATCGCGGTCGACATCGGACCCCTGCCCGTCTCCTCTGTGATGCTTTGTCTTCTCTCCGCTGCGAGGCTTCTTCTTCTCCCGGCTGCCCTTTTTCCCCTCTCCGCCGCGTGCGTGCCCCGGAGACCGTTGTTTCGCCGAACGCTGTTCACTTCCACCTCCGGTACCTCGTTGCCCGCCGCCTTCACCATTCCCGTCGCCGTCCTTTCTGCGAGACTTGCGCTTCACAACTCCTACCGGCGGGGTGACCCCAGGAAACTCCCAACTCACTTGCTTAATTGACGGGCTTGACGGAAGGGCGTAGAACGCGGAGGACACTTCCAGCCATTTATTTGACAGCAAGAACTCGAATAGCGTGTCCCCGTATTCGCGAAGAGCAGGGTCGTCCTTATTTCCTCGATTGACCTCACTTAATCTCTCCAATACCGCATCGTAGGCGCGAGATTTGAATGTCTCGAGGTCCCAACGATCGTCATATATCCACCCTCCACTTACGTCCCTCACAGCCACTGCCCATTCGCCGTCGAGAAGGACTGGCTGGAAATGGTCTAGGTGCCACACGATATCATGGCCCCAATCTTCGGCTGAGGAGAAGGTGTGTTTGTCGCCCATGTGCAAGGGAGTCGCAGGAGCCTTGAGATGCGGATGGTCCGGAGGAACTGGATGGCCGGGTCGAAGACGTTCGGGCTGTGGTGTGAGATGAATAGGCTCCCCCGGCGAACTCCTCAGACGGGACAACCCACCCCTCTTGACAGGCGCTGAGGAGGACACGGGCGTGGGACCGCCCGAGGTAGGTGTAGCGAGAGGTGTCCCCGGTTTGCATACTGATGGCGACTTAGAAACTTGGGCGTTGAAGATGGCCAATTGCCCGTCCGAATCGAAGAGGTCGTCCTCAACGCTCTCCTCCTGCTCAGTCTTGATATTGAAGTCGTCCTCCTCACCGAATGCCAGCTTGTACTTATCCAAAGTGAAGTCGGCCGGATCGACAACATCCTCGTTAAAAAAGACATATTCCAGCCTCTTAATGAAGCTCACAGCGCTGGCCCGACTCGCTCCGTGGTAGCCCTGGAGGACCGCAATGGCGACTTCCTTCCGCACCACGTACTGCGGGTCAAATCTCAACCTTGGTTGTTCGCCGTAAAGGAAGGAGTAGACCTGGCGCCTTTTCTTCGGAGTCAACTTGAAGAACATGTCCTTGTTAGGGTCATAAATGGGCTCGACCACGACATGGTGGAAATCGCATGGGTAAGCCTTGGACGACACTTTATGGGTGACATACTGCACGGTGTATTCGAGCTGCGTTGTGTCCCCATCCACGACCAAGACGTGCCTTTCCTGCTGAAGCAGACTCCACACCACCTGCGCGTGCGGCTTGCCCAAGAACAGCACGACATCCGCCACAGCACAGAAGAAAGAAGCTGATTGCACAACTGATTCGGATTCCGCTCGCCGTCCTTGTACAGAGCCCCCCTCTGGGTCAGGTTTCCGATGTCCGCGAAAGTCAAAGACTTGAAAGACTTCTCCTCCACATTCGTGGGTGTCACTTTCTGTTTCCTCCGGAGAGCGGCGTCGTCGTCTTCAGCAACAGCTCCCTCGTACACCGGGTGAGTCAGTAGCCGAGGATCCTCGCCTTTGAGAAGGATGTGCATCACATCCGGCTCCTCCCAGACGTTGTTTCCGAACTGATGCGTCTTCTTCGATGCCGTCTTCCGAACCCACTTCCCGTGTAGCATCGGGTAGCCCCAAGCACAGACAAACATGTCATGAAGGAGAGGTTCCACATGCAGGGGACGAATACCACCAATGTCTAGTAGTCCTGACAAACGAAGCCCAGCAACTCACTCAGAGACGCGAATGCCCCAGAGTCCCATTGCGCACGGTCCACAGCACCCCACAAGCCGAGCACGCAAGTGTGGGAGCGTAGCTGATGCCCTAGTTTTCCCAGCGCCTCCTTATGATTTCTGGCACTTAATGGGTCGACGTTAAACTAGGCCAGCGTCGTCAAGGCGCTTGTCCTTGTCCACATAATGTTGATGCATTCATCAACGCCCTGAGGGCTTTTTTTGCCTTTGGCACGATCTCTAGTGATCACCGAAAGGACGACACGCTTCCACTCCGCCGGGAAATGATGGTCGTTGACGAGGGCCGCCGTTCTCTTGATGTTGTTGTCGTGTTGACACCCGAGAAACTGAGGGCACTTGTTGACGTATGTGGTGTCCGTGAAAAATTTCCTGCTCTCGTTCCAAAGCTTGTCGTCGAGACCTCTGTCCTTGAACTCTTCGAAGAGTTGCTTCTTGGACGTGAAGAAAGTGGAGTTGGCATTCCACTCCCGCTTATCCATTTCCTCGTACTCGAACTTCACGTAGTGTCACAGCCTCAACATAATCCGGTCCATTTTTATTATGTCGACCATCTCCTTGACACTGAACTTCCCCTTCTCGGCCAACTTTTTGCTACTCGTTTGAACCCACACGACGTAAAGGTTCAAGACGCCGTTCAACAACCTTTTCTTCTCACGGTCCGTCAAGTCCACCAATTCCTTCCAGCAGTGGACATCCGGCTCTGGAACTTGGACGTAGAAAGTTTTCTCCTCCACGCATTTCTTTGGCTTCTCCTAGCCCTTTTTCAACGACGGGTCGTCCACCTTCACGTACCAGACGTGTTTCTTCAACCCCTGGCTGTCAGTCACAGTGGAGAGTCCTGGCTTGGCCACCTCCTCATGGGTGGGCGGCTTTTCAGTCCAACGCCGGCCGTCGGAAGCAAGGAGTTTCCCTTTCGACCACTCCTCATAGAACTTCAACCCCAAAGCGAAGACAGAGTCATCTGCCATGGCCAACGGGAGGTAGTATCGAAGTTTCTCAGCCCATTCCTTTCTTTTCTTTGCTTCCGTTGACAGGTTCCAGATAGGCGTGTACGGCGTTTTCTTCATTGCCAACGCCATGAACCGCACCCACTTTCGCACCTCGTCCTGTTTCTTCGAGGCATTGCCGAGCACCACACGCGGTTTGCCCTTAATTTTCCAGATATTGAGAATGTCCCGCATAGACAAAACCTGCAAGTGCGGTGGATTCTTCTTGTCTTTCATGTTGTCTTCGCAGCTGACATTGGCCTAGCCGTCGAACTCGTCGTCAGGGAAGTAGATCGGTCTAAACGGCCATTTACAGAAGTTGTAGTAATCAAACACGGGATGGTCTTTCACCATCATCGCCGCCCTCGCGTTATGCTGTCCACACACAGGATAATACCAGTATTTCTCCGGGTGTGAGTTGTCGAAGTCAGCCGGCAGCACGCGCACAGCAGGTTCGTCGTTCTCTGGAGGCGAGACGATCAGAGATAGAACGAAAATGGGCTTCGTGTATCTCATGTCTTTACGTTCGTAGCAGTCGATCATAGCCGACGCGATGGTATCAACGAGGAACTCGTCCAAGGATCGGTGGTTGTACGCGTCTTCCCGGTCTGGAATAACTTATATTCTTTCGGGATGGATGTGCAACACGACGTCCTTCTGCACCCCTGTCTGCATCTCGAGGAAGAATGCATTGTCGAGGTTAAAGGCGTTGAGGTTAATCTCCACGTCGTCATCCCCCTCCCCGCTATCGCCCTCGTCTGCTTTCTTCCCCCTCGATGATTTTGCCCTTTTCCCGGAAGACTCACCGGTTCTTCGCTGTGTCGACGAGTCTTTTGGCGTTTCATCCCCACCTCCAACCCTTTTCCTCTTCTCAACGGAACCGCCCTCTCGTGTTGTTGGCGTCCGAGCACTCCCTCCTACCTTTCTCTGCCTTTTCGGAGCACCTAGTCCCTCTCGCTCTTCCTCATCCGGCAAGTTGCGCTTGCCTCCCGACTGAGTCTTTTCAGCCGATCTCTCACGGAACAGCCCCTGCTCGCACACCTCCTGCTCACCGGCGACGTTCCCACTTGCTTCTCGTTCCTGGCTCAACTCCGTCTGAAGTTCCCCCGGCGCTGGTCGGGCCCGGCGAGTCGTCTCATCTGACCCACGCACCTCTCGAACCTGCGGTCCACCCGCTCGATCTCCAGCCGAAACCTTGGCCACTTGCATGCCACGAACGAACGAACCGATCCTTTCGACCAGACCACGAGGAGTCGTCGATTCTAAGCCCTGTCGCAACCGTTCGCCATCGCCGCCTCCATGTGGCGTCGACTCCCCAAGCAAACCGTGGCGGCGAGATACATGCAAGCCCGGTTTCAAAGGAGCACGCGGATGGTCGTCCTCCGAGTCGTCTGACATGCCCACCTCTTGATCAGGAGGCGCAGCTGGCAGGCCACCCTGACTTCCCATCTCCCTTTCAGAGCACTCTCCTCCCGCGAACCCAACAGGACCACTGATCGATGTTCCAGGTCCGACGTCTACGGCACTGACAGAGGTACCAGATTTCGCCCAGACCTCGAGGAAGTCTGTGACATAAACGGCCTCGTCGTGGCCCGGCGCTAGTGGGAGAAAGTGAGGCAAAGACATCGCACCACGGTCGTACCCGCCGAACATCCTCCCGGCAACCTTGCATCCCTTTGCGATGCCGTCGACAGAACCATCACTTTTGTAATGCTTCTTCAAAGTAAACTTGAAATCGTATTCGCCATCATCGACCCACTGAACGATGGACCCTGCGAGACGCGTTCTGTCGGCGCGAACGGCGACGAACAAGAGCGGCCCGCACGGTGGTTGCAACGGGTCGGAGCCGTCCTGGCTCGCCCAGTCCAAATACCAGACGCGTTTGCTGTAGTCGCACCACAAGTTTTGAGCACGTCGTTCTTCCTCCCCACCTCCAACTCCCCGACTCGTTTCCCTTGTCGACGACGATGTCGTCCCTCGACGCTCCTCTCTGTGCAGGGCCGAACCACCAGCGGAGCGGCCTCGTCCGTGTGAAGCCATTCCCTGAAACACATGGAGGAAATGAACCCACATTCACTAAGAACAGTTAGCACGTCCCAACATCAACCACGACCCACAACACGTATTTTGTTATCGGTCACTTGGACTCCAAAAGAACGAAGTTCAGTCATAGTTAGACGACAGTGGTCCACAAGCCTGCACGTTTCGGATGAATCCGAGGCATCGTGAGCCATCCTCGTCACACTGCCCTTAAGAGAATGGATGGTCGAAAATGAAGACCTTGGGATAGATCGGATACATCCGAAGCAGGCGCAGTCGAAAAAACGATGTCGCATAGGCACCTGCACCGGGAAAAGCAACATCTCGCAAGAAGGCCCTAGAACGCTCATACGGCAGACGAAGATCAATACGTTGTCCTCCGAAGTCGACAAGTGGATTGTAAAGTCCTCCGTTGTAGTTCGGATGAATCCGAGCTCCAAAGCGGTGTGGACCTCCCCCTGTCGGCCCGTACCGAACTCGAGTTTTCTTGTCCTTCTGGGTCGGTAATGGTTGTGACTCGGATGCATCTGAATTCGAACAGCGCGGTCCAGAGACGGTCGTCCACAAGAGGTCATCTGCAACACGTGAAACGCATGCATTCTTGCTCCCGAAACTCCTTCATCTCGCCCCGATCAGATGGCACACTCACACGTCCGCATGTCATGTCCTGAACATGCGTGGCCACGCTGATGGGCGCGGGGCAATATTGGAGCCTCGCATCCATTCTGCTGCCGCATAGAGCCCCTTTGTAGCATAAAGCCCCACATCCATCAGCGTGGCCATGCTTGTTCAGGACGTGACACGTGAACGTCTGAGTGTGCCATCTGATTAGTGCGAGTGATCGCCAATGAAACGCATGCATTCTTGCTCTCGAAACTCCTTAATCTCGCCCCGATCAGATGGCACACTCACACATCCGCATGTCATGTCCTGAACATGCGTGGCCACGCTGATGGGTGCGGGGCTATATTGCAGCCTGGCATCCTTTCTGCTGCTGCATAGAGCCTCGCATCCATCAGCGTGCACACGCTTGTTCAGGAATTGACACGTGGACGTTTGACAGTGCCATCTGATCGGGGCGAGTGGTCGCCAATGGAACGAGATCCACAAACGCACCCCGAGGTACGTTCGCGAAAGAAACAGGCCAACGCATAAGACCAACGAAATAGAGGCGCTGAAGACAAACTAACGACGGGGACGAAGATGGTAGTTGAACACGACGGCACACACGTCCACGTGTCAAGTTGTGATCATGCGTGGCCACGCTGATGGGTGCGGGGCTCTATTCGACAACATTCTATTGCCGCATAGAGCCCCGCCGCATCCATCAGCGAGCCCACGCTTGTTCAGGACCTGCCATGTGGACGTGTGAGTGTGCCATCTGATCGGGGCGAGTGGTCGCCAATGAAACTAGATTCGCGAAAGCAGGCCGACGGAAAAGACGAACGACATAGAGGCACTGATAGAAAACTGACAACGATGGTGGTGGAACACGACGCTGTTGGTTCTGTTTCGTTCGTTTGTCTGCGCTTGTAAGTTATGTTCACAAACTTTGTGCGAACGACACAGACAAGCGCAGTGAAACGAGCGAGATAAAAGACAGAAAGAGAGATAAAGAGATAGCGAGAGAGAGAGAGCGCGACATAGAGGCGATATCCGCCTTCGTCACACGACCCAATCAAACGTCACGATCAAATGGCCCCGAACGTCACAGACTCCCTATCACACATCGAACTCACGGAGAGAAATCCCTGTTGGATCACACGACACTGCTCGTTCGCGGCGACTGAACCTAATGTAATCGCCACCGCGCGAATCCCGACTACAGATTGCGTACATGTGTGGGCATTCTGACGGTCTATGCAAACCAGCATGGCAGGACTTTTCAGGTCGGTGGAGATGGCGAGAGAAAGAGAGAGAGGGAGAGAGGGAGCGAGAGAGAGCGAGAGAGGGAGAGAGA